TGAATATGGTTGCGGATATGAAAATTACACAATAAGATTAATTAGAGAATTACGTGACCCTGTGTCCCATAGTTTGAATCTCTCGCTAACCTACAAATGGGTGCTTTTTGAAACCAAGAATTATGCCATGTATCAAACCAAGTCCACTTGGTTTCCTAGAAACTATGACAGATACATCAAACATTGTGACCAGGCAACCTGAGTCACCAATCTAAAGATAAATAAATCTATTTTTATTGACGTCCACATTTAAGACAATGTGTTAAATCAAGGCTTGGCCCAAAACACATATGAATGGGAAATTAAGACATTCAGGAACATCACACCCATGCCACTAACGTACAATTGATGATATATATATATATATACTAGTACTGGTAAATAGTACAAATGAACATCCTGTGACGACCACCTAAGGACAAGTTGATGTACTATTATGTGTGTAAAAGGCCATTCACTATCAGAATAGAAGATACATTCTACTGATCCACAGATCAAATATGGCCGACCTTACATGAAAGAAGAGCCAACTTATCCACTGATGGTCTCCCTGCCTCTACATGTGCCATTTCATGTATGGTCCACCATATTTGATCTGTGGATCAGAAAATCCTCTGATCGTCTGTTCTGAATGGGCTCTAAGACTGACGATTTTTTTTTTTGGGGGGGGGGGGGAGGGGAGGCTTACAAAATCACTTATCATCGATCAACAAAAGGACCATGGAAAACTAATTTTGAAAAAGATTCTCATTACTCAATGGACATTGTTTTTAAGTTCACTGTTGATGACTCAATAAATTCCTTTGTAAATACCCCTTTTTCATCTTACAAAACAACACAACAATACAAGGGGTGCAACAAAAGTGAATCAGATCTACTTCAACAACAAACCAATTAGACACACACAATAATTATAATGTTTTCCTCCACAATCTAAGACTGCCATTTCTTCCAATGACAACAACCATCTACATCTTCATTCAACATAGATATATACTACACCACAAGAGAGAATCGGGAGAAAAAATCAATGTGCACACGTAATGAAATTTTCAAAGTATGCCCTTAAATCACAAAACACAACTTGAACGGTATCGACTGGAATGCAAATCACATAGATCTAATATATATATATATATATATATATATAGCCCTCGCTCTGATTTCAGAATACCTCCCCCATGCACATGGACAGACAGGAGTTGGCAATTTCAATGGGCATGGCTCAAGGGAGGTGTTGGTGATGACCACAAAGTAGCCAAGTAAATCAGCACCTACAAATTGACCATGACCACAGATGAGAAAGACTAAGGAGAGAGAGAAGGAGAGAGTGCTAACTAGATGGATATCATATAAGATTTCCCCTACTAAGTACACGTAAAACCCTGAAAGTTGAAGGTGTTATTAAACTATACCAATCCAGTCTAATCCCCTTTTCACACCTGATGGCCAGCTGACATACCAAACAACTGACAAGAGATTAACACCATTTCCTCTGAACAAACTACATATTGCAACCATGTATATAACACATGGGTATTGTATTGTACTGCAAATTATAAGCAAAAATCACATTAATATCCAGCAACTTTTCACCACAATGGAGTATTCTGATGGTACCAGAGGAATGCAGGTGAACAGGGTTGCCAGGGCTGGCTCAGGAAAATGTCTGAGAGGTTATCTTGGAGCCATTAGCCTCTATTTTAAGGGTAAAGACAAATGATCCCCAGGTGAAAAGTCAGACTGACCACTGGAATTCACAGAAATTCTGAGAGTTCAGCATAACACCTAAAGGGCAAGGCAGTGTCTGGCTGTCTGGCCAAGGAGAAGTGGTGGAAATATTCCCAGAAATTCTGTGAATTCTTCACTACAAATGAAGAGTAAGCAGCGTCTGGCCACCAAGCACAGAGCCAAATGACCAACGGACTCAGAGAAATTCTCGGAAATCTTTATTACATATGATTCTGGCCACCAGAGGAACAAGGCAATGGACTCACAGAAATTCTGGGAATTCTTTATTACATATAAAGGGCAAACAGCGTATGGCCACCAAGCATAGAGCAGAGTGACCAATGGTATCACGAAAATCCTGAGAATTCCACATTCTATTTGAAGGGTAGGCAATGTCTGGCAACCACACACAAAATAAGGAAAGCGGCTGCCATTTTCAGTGTTCATGGGTATTCTGAGGATTCTTGGAACATGCTGGTACTCTATCAGAACAGCTGTGAACTGCCAAAATAACTTTTTTTCTTTTCTTCTGTCTTTCTTTTTCCACTTAACTGATTATAGTTTTATCCCATAATGTCGCCATTATTTTCATTATTATTTTGGTGAGAAGAGAAAAACAATACTTTTGGCAAAGTAATATACACTTAGTAAGTTACAACTCCTAAGTATTTACAAATGTATTGTTAACCAAAAGGTTAAAGCACATGTAGCATCATTTTTTATAAAGAATATCTCTTTTCTTCTGAAAGAAATAAAGCAGACATGATAAAGTATTATTCAGACAAGCTTTACAATGTCATTTAAATAACCCAGCAGCCATTTGGCCACTTTAGTACAAACTTATGACTACTTAACACATTTAAAGATCTATTTGAGGTTTCTGAAGAAGGTTATGTCCCTCATAACAACAAAATCTGGGATCAGTTCAGAATATCTCTGTTTTCTTTGAGCAATAAAAGACAAAAAAATTCAAATAAAAAATTTTGAATGGATTGAAAATGACAGTTGACAAGTGTTTAATTCCACAGTTTCTCCAAACCCATTTCAATTCAGAAAAAAAAAAAAAAAACTGCTGGCATTTCTACAAGTTATGGACTGAGTCACTTTCAGACGGGGCTTTCAGACCACCAAACTACTGGCCATATCCCACACCGCAGACTAGTGTGGGGAGTGTTAATAGTGTGATGAGAAAGGTTTGTAAAACCACCATCAGCTTCCGGAGTATTTTCACACTTAATAGTAGACACAGACCNATTTATTTTTTTATGCAATTTGATATAGCATCTGTTTGTATTGTGCCTTGCTTTTGCAAGGTTATAATATATTTTATAGATGAAAGTGTACAAATGAGTGAACAATCGAAATAAACATGTTGCTTTAGCATATGCTTAAAATATAACTATGAAGAAATAACATCACCATGTAGTATAGAAAAGCCTGGGTTTATACAGTTCACAAATTACATTTAATGCCAGTGACACTAACAATATAGGTAGAAATGTCCCACAAGAATTTACTTCAATCCATTAACATACTGAATGGGATGGAGTGCACTAATTTAACTCTCTAGAGGGGTGCAACTAATGGATAGAAAGACATATAGATTGTGTGAGTTTAGAGACATAACAAATTGGGCCTTTTCAAGACCCATAATGTAAACAGACACTGTCTGTCTGTCGTGTGTGACATATATTATACCCAATGCACACTTTTTTTAGGTATGACATTTACTCTTTTTAATTCCAAAAACATGACTTGTTAATCTCCTTCCCCATAGAAAAATTGTAAACAATACTTAGAGATGTTGATACAAAAGTGTTAAAAAGTTTATTGGCTTAGTGCCATGGTAGTGTTCTGGGTGTTTAAACATGATTGATCTTCTTAGAAAAGTGGAGCAATAAAAAAATCTCAGTGATGTTCTACAAAAATTTCCCCCAATCCACTAAGTTAACATACTGTACTTTATTGTCTATTTTTTTTTTTTTTTTTTTTTTTGTCACACTACAGCAGCACTTTAAAAACAGTCATGCTTGAAATATATGTAAATAAGTTGTGCTACATGTCAATGGAAACTTTTAATTATTATGATTCTTTGCAGAACCAAATAAAAGTGAGGGACTTCATCTTTTCCAATATTTTATCCTTACTATAAAATCACTGAGAACTGTGGTAATATGCTTCTTTCAAGTCATTATTTAACCACGCCCCTATCTATGTCTGTTCCATCCAAACCAAACATCCAGATTCAAATACATCTTCCATATCAGATCAGTTACGATAGATATATCAGGATTATATAAAATCAATAAATCAAACTTATACCAAACAATTAACCAGCTTACTTCCTTGTTTATGCTACTCATGTTTTACACTCTGTATATATTAATCTGTGTGAGACTGACAGAGGACTTCAAATAGGCCATGTTTGTATTGCTGAAGTACACACCTGTCAAAACTAGTTGATAAAGGGTCCCAGATGATAAAACCTGATGTCAAATGCACCATAATAAATAACAGGTGATAACAAGAAGTTTGCAAAGGGGACAAATAAATATATACTGATAAACATGCTCTTATCAAATATCTTATCACAGGTGTGAAGTTGTGCTATGGACCGCCAATAGTAACAAATTTATCTACATTACTTCCTGGTTGTCCTGCAGTCTACGTCGTATTTATTACATCTGCCAGTGTGGTTACGTTTTGGTCTAAGTTGTTTTTTTAGTCCACACCCTATACCAAGACATTATAAAAAGATTTAAATAGAATTTTCAGGGTAGGTCAGAAATGGGTTAACTTAGAAATGAAAAGATTTGTTATCCATTCATCAATTAATTAATGAGATTAAAGCTGCCTTGGCATAGGTCTGAGCTCATAGAGTGCTTAAAATTCTTTTCTATGTATTCTATGTTTGCTATGCACAACAAAAACTTAACAGTTTCTAGTTACAAAAGTAGATAGATGCACCTGTTTGGATTTATAATTTCTTCTCACTATACACTGATAACGCTAAAATATTAAAATCCTAGAAATACTAGCATCTAATTTTTTTTTTTTTCTAATTGCATAACAAGAAGACATTTATACTTAAGCATCAGCCAACTTCTTAACTAACTTCCAAGCATATCAATGTTAAATTTATATAAAAATTTAGAATATTCAATATATATACTTATTAGATAATTTTTTTAATTTTCTAAAGCAAAGGTGAGACATCCTTCAGGTTTTTTAATCTTTCAATTTCTGTGCCAAGTAGAGTCTTGTTATTGATTCAAATGGTTCAGATTTTCATTCAAACCATTTTTTGCTATTCCATTCTAATTTTCTGTCTTACCTCTGAAAGATGATTGATGCCAGATTCCATGTTAGCCAACTGCTGGGTCTGCATCTCCAGTAGGCTGAGAAAGTTTGCAGCAAGATTGTTGATTTGGTATGCCACACTGGCCAGTGATTGGGTGGTATAGTTTTTTGTCTCCTCCAAGGCATGACGCTTGTCTTCAGCCTAGAATAGGAGCAATGATAAAAATAAAAAATGTTAAGATATCTAAAAATGTTATTGGCTAATTTTGGCACCATCTATACCACACAAGAGACAAACTTGGCAAATTTCAATATTTAGAACTTGCCTTTTAACTGATGAGGTAATATTCACTTTTGGCTGTTCTTAATTAATTATTGTATTTTGAAATTATATGCATCTATAAGCATTCTTCCAGTGAGAATGATATAAAATTTAAGACAGAATTCTTCCATTCTAGTTTCCTAAAACCACTACCCCAATATTATGCAATTTAGCACAAACTTGTTTATTGGCACAGTAAAAGAGATGAATGTTGTGATATGGAATCCAATAACTTATAAATGAACTGCTAACAAGTCAGTGAAGTGGATAAATGTACGAAAATGATCATACACGCACCAAAAGGATAATTGATGTTTATATGGCCGCCTGTTAAATGATACCAGGGCCTTTCACGGGTGCTTTCATTCCTGTGTGTTCAAATAAGGTGTTAGTATGAGAGTCCCACGATAAAAGTGGTCTGGGCTGCAAGAAGAACTGAATCATTTCCAATTTTCTCATTAGCTTATCTTCAAACATTTCCTGTTCCAATGTTTACGTTACACTCGTCGGATCGTTGCTTCTCTTAGAAACTACTTCGAACTTACCTGAATATAATTCCCCTCACAATAATCTGCAACTCTTTCTAAGTTCACATGACTTTCCTGTAGCTGCCTCCTGCCTTCTGGAATTTCATGTTCCGTAAGATGCCAAAGTGACTGCTCAGAGTCCGCCATTTTGGCCCTTCCCTTGCAAAGGTCACAACCTCGTTGTCATATGGCCTTGAGAAAATACACTATAAGTGTTTTTGTTTATTGTTTTTCTCTTTTAAACGTAAATAAAGGCATTTTCTATATTTCTCAACGCATTAAAATACTTTTTTTTATTGCAAAACTCCCTCTTCCTTATTTTTATGAATACATTAGTAGTTAATTTTAGAGCGACATGACCTACATACGGGGCTCCCAATGGCCGACGACAGCGACAGTGGATGGCTGTGGTATTCCGAAACATCTCAGGTAATTCTGGGATTTGTGGCTGTTAATATTAAAATGCTGTTTAAGAATAATCTTCATGTATCCTTTAAATATCGTTCAAACGCCTGATTTGCCATTATAGACAGAAATCACTCTCATGACACTTTTGTCCTTGGGAATTTTACGTTCCACTAATGAAATACGTGACCTAGAAGTTCATTAAAAGTAGACTACGTAATAATCCAAAGTACAACTTATGTTGGTAGTTAAAGAAATAAGTATTGAGATTAACATACATCTGATGGAAGCTTTAGATTAGAATAAAAATCATTTAGTTGTTTCATTGGAGTATATTTTTCTGTTATTATTTTAATAAAGTAAAAAATTATATCATATGTACTAAAATTAATAATTATTTTTAGACATAAATGCGAAAAATCAACTTATTTATTTACATCTGAAACAAAAGCTAAAATATATAACATACACAGGGGTGTCTTCCTTAAGGCCAGTACCACTTGTTGACTTTTCTGAAAGCATCAAACTCTAGAGTGTGGTGGGCTGGGCTCAAAAACTGGAAGCCTAGATCTTGAAAAATGGGCATTTGTATTGTAATATTGTTTCAAATATTGTATACAATAAGTGATTTTGATATCTCCATTAAAGTCGATTCCATTTCTTTGCTTTACAAGGGTCTGTCATCAAAATGTTTAATGCATGAATTATCACGGCATTTACTTTGTGTACGTGTAAATATAAACAATTGTTTAAAGCATATATACTTTTGCTTCTTTTAGAATTCGATTGGAGAAGTGACATACACCAATGCCATTTTAGACCAAGGTAAGAAGAAAAACACCAACTCTCTCCACATTGATTTTTAGTGAAATGTATTAAGAAAATCTGCTGGTATTTGATCATTATATGCACAAAGCTCATGTAAGCATACAATTAGCATAGCAATTTGCAAAATTAGCTACTGCAGGAATATTTGTATGTGGCAAAACATAAACATAAATGAAAAAGCTTTTGCAAGGTTAGAAATGTTATCATCATGCTCTGAAGAGTCAATTCAGTTCACATCACTTTATCACATCACTGACATCACTTTAGCATAAAGAAGTTAATTGCACAACTTTTATATTTTCCACCTGGTGGTACATACTCAGGAGGCAGTAACACCTCTCTGACACTCTGGTATCACCTTGTTACTTTATTTACTTTCCAGCAGTAGCTCATACCAGCATGGCTGAGGCAGATCTGAAGGCAGATACACAGAGCCCTACAGCCAACCAGAGGTTTTCTTACTCACGCTCCAGTAGTATAGGCTCCCTGCCTGGCATCAGTCATTCTTCAGCCTCCTCTGCACACAACACAGGTAGGGAGATTGCTTTAAAAGAGTTGGTGTATTCCTTCAAAATGGTATTTACTAAAAGTTGGCTGTTACACTAACTATAAATTAAATATTTCTATCATTCTAAAAGTGATTGAAATACTCTTTTAAGAAATGTGTCAGAATTGTAATTTAAAAAAAAAAAAATATATATATATATATATAGAGAGAGAGAGAGAGAGAGAGAGAGAGAGTTATAGAATTACTTAAAAATTGACATAACCCTGTGAGTAAAAGACACTGAGGACACCACTGTTCAAAGCCTTGGCTCTTTTAATTGTTTTTCATATGCTCTTTCACATAAGAATTGAGAGGCTGGTATATTGCTGTGCTATTTACTCAGTCTTTATTTTTAAAGTGATGAACATATAAATATTGATACATAAGTGTTTTGTTCAGATGATGAGGACAGTGATACACAGAGTACCAGTAGTAAAACGGCCAGTAACTACAAGGACAGGAGAAGAGAAGCCCACACACAGGCGGAACAGAAGAGGAGAGATGCCATTAAGGTGACAGTGAATAGCCCTCAGTGGTCACAAATTATATGCCTCTTTTAGTGAAAAAAGGTTCAACAACACTAAGGGATAAATTCTTTATTGGAAATGTTGTCCTTTCATCAATATTATGTTGTTTTTTTTTCCCCCAGTACTCAAATGTATATTGTATTTTTGAGATCATGAGATTATGAAGAATATATTGATGTAAATAAGATCATAATGATTCAGTGGTATTTGAGCACCTTCATTGTGTGGTAATACATTTTAGACAAATTTATTTTCACGCCAGTCACTTTGTGACCTTCGCTTTAAATGTGTTGTTTCTTCTACAGAAAGGCTATGATGAACTGCAGACCATCGTCCCCACCTGTCACAATGCAGTGGATGCTGTGGGTACACAGAAACTGAGTAAAGCAGCCGTACTTCAGCGATGTAAGTTTCTGCAGATTTATTTTTTCCAAATACAATTCTAAGGTCTATTGTAATTGCACTATTTACTAGCCTAAAAACCAGAATTTTTGAACTCTAAAATGGGTTTTTGGATGGTTTATGAACATTGCAGAAATGATTTACCTTGTATACTTTGTTTATTAAAGAATAGTCTTGACATATCTAGACGAAATGAATTTTTGCATTGAAAATCTATCACTAATTGGGAGCCTAAAAGATGTGTGTTAATAAATACATAAAGTGGCATTTTAACAATGAATGAACTTCACTTTCTTCCAGCAATTGACTACATCCAGTATTTGGTGCAACAGAAAAAGAAGCAGGAAGAGGACTTGGAGTCTTTGAGAAAAGAGGTCTTGGCCCTCAAGATCATGAAAGCGTAAGAATCATAGCTAATTTTACTCTGTTTAAGCCGTCCATTAGTCTCATTGGTGCATCTGAGTCATGATCCGAAAAGGTGACTTTTATATTATTCATTTGATATTTGTTGAACTATTATATACATTATCATATTCATTATTATACAGCCATTGATCCTGTGTGAGGTCACCTCTTGGCTATGTTCAACCCTAAGCTGGTGTATTTGACCGTTATGAAAGATTGTCAAGTCCTTTTATAAAATTTTACCTCCTGCTTCCAGACCAATATTGGCTAGTTAGGAGGTCAGTGCAGAATAATATTGACTGCACATGACTGCCTATCAACCAATTGATGAACATCAAAATATGTGATCATGTAGCTAGTTGTTTTAGTGACTTGGTGTAGAAAACCAGCGATATGAATGGAATGTTTTATATTCCAGCAATTATGAACATATAGTGAAAGCTCACCAGAGTACTCCACAGCATGGCCAGAACCAGGTGCCAGATGAAGTCAAATTTCAAGTGGTGAGTGTAATGGGATTCATTTTATAATACTTTGTTACTTGTACAAATATATGTCGTCACTTGAGCTGTTTTAACTGCTGTATGGGAAGTGAACAGCTGTTTTCACCCTACTCACCCAACTGGGTTGTTAATAGAAAAATCTGTTTTCCATTTATGAGGACAAAACTGGACTAGGTTTAATTTTCAGTCAAAAACAAGTGTGTGTGTCATTCACATGCCAGTCTTTCTGAAATGAGTGCTGTGAAAAGATTGCCAGTGAATTTTCTTCTCTTTTTCCAGTTCCAACAAATGATGGATGCTCTGTTTCAATCTTTCAATGCCTCAATCTCAGTAGCCAACTTTGCAGAACTCTCTGGCTGTATTTTCAGTTGGCTGGAGGAGTACTGCAAACCACAGGTAATAATTGAGTTAATAAAGAACACATGGTTTTGATTTTAAAAAAAAAGTTAATAGATTACAAAACGTAAGGACCAATTCAAGATAAAATATTGTACTTTATACCTAACGTCTGCATTTATTTTTTCCTGTGATGAAACATTTTAAGTTGCTATTTTAGATCTTTTCTATATTTCACATACAGAGCCTGAGGGAGTTGGTGCTTGCTGTTCTCAGACAGACCACATCCCAGATGAACCTTTGATACAAACCAGATACCAGTACAGATAGACTTCCAGCTCAGAAAGACAATAACTGGGTCATATTCCAACCAGGGCCTTCTTTCAAAAAGGATTTCAGCTTGAAAGTAGGCCTTGGCTAGACCTACTTAATTCATAAACCAGTTTGCATTTCACAAAGAAAAAATATACCTCTTCCTATTTGAGAACCCCTCTTTAAAATCATGTGGCCCATGGCATGAATACTCTTGACATGCACTCTTTGGTAGCAGGTCTTAGAAACCCACATGAATATCATGCTTATATCATAAATAACAGCATCTAGCACTGTGAGCATACACTCTCATGTGTACATGTATATAATATTTGTTGACTTCGTAAAAATGTGGATGCCCACAATTAAGGTTATATTTATTGGCTAATCTTACCCAGTGAGCACTAGACCTTAATTTAGCACCAAAAAAAATTCTTGAAAATTCGAGCTCAAAGGCTTGGCTTAGAATTGCGCATGTGATGGAAAAAAATTAAAACTAAGGGCTTAAAATAAGGGCTTGATATCATAATTTTGACATTGGTTTCATAATGGGAGTTGCTTAATTCCAAATTTGTTTTCCTATGAAATGGTCTGTCGCGTTCGCTGTGAATTTAACTTTAGCATGGCAGTGGAAAGAAATGAGTATTGAATCGATAAAGACGTTTTTGATTTTGTACTGCCGATGACACATTTATAAATATCACTTATGTTGTAGCACTTATTCCAGAAAAATTGGCAGTGAATCACGATAAGGACGTTGCTGAGAATTATGCTTGCTGATTATTGTATATATACACGTTGTATGGGGTGGTGAGCTTTGTCACTTTTTATAGGAAATTGTAAATATTGTCACTGTCATTATTTATATTATATCATATATAAGGAATTGACGGAGAAATAAAAAGAGAAAATATAAAGGAGTTTTCTTGATTGTTCGCCAGGAGCGAATTAAGTAGACGTCCCGACACAAAACAAAAGGAAGATCGACATCTAGCTTAATACCAGGACCCATGGCAGTAACGCGTCCAAGCTGAATATATAGACAACGCACCGTACCTGTCAGTATCAGGCACGATTTCAGCAGAGTTTTTCAACAGTAAGCACAACCGAAGTCCGGGCTCCCATGTGGTTAGTACAGGTTAGGGTTAGTCTGAGTATTGGAGTTAGAATGTGGGACAATTGTCACGTGTATAAAGTAAAGCCTAGGTGCCAACCGAACGTACGGGCTGTTACGTGTGGTCTACGGCCAAAAAAATGGGGAAAACGGGGGAGTTCGTGAGTGAGGAGCACGTCCTTCGTGCGACTTTTGGAGGACGCAAACAGCACGTAGAAACCTTTTACTAGTTACTTGGTTCCTTCCCTGCGATCTAGCTACGTCCTAGCCGGACGCAAGGAACCTAAAAACCGTACTTGGGACCTAGGCTTAATGGGAAACTGACTACGGTTCCTACGAACTACCTGTCACACCGGCGTACTCCTCTTCGTTGGTCGTTGGAACCATAAAATATTTCCTTTGTTTTGCAGTTATATATACATGTGTTTCTGGGCCCCGTAACTCGAAAGCATCCCGCATTGCGACCAAGCGCAAGTGTCTGGATTCCATAACTCGCCCATCGGCGTCCCATATAATACATTGTAGCCTCTATACGCTATTCGCAACAGGTGATGCTTTCCAGTTACGGGGCCCTGAAACATGAAACGATGGAGTTCACACCTCCGTTTGCGCCCCACCCTGCACGTGTGCCTCTGAATTTCCCAGTTTAACTTTTTCCACCTCCCTACCCCGTTTTTCAGTGGTATTTATGTATTTGATGGTATTTATTTATTTAGTTTTTTCGATATATTTAATCAATAACACTGGCGGATCCAGCATTTTGGACAAACATTACATTGTAGACGAAATTTTAAGATAAAAATTGGTGGAAAAGTCTTAGGAAACCGTAATCAAGTCGTGTGGGTCTGAATTTCTATTTTATCACTATTTATTTATGTTTTTTTTTTTTTCGCAAGACGGCATTTAACAAGGCAAGGTTTTTTTTATACCTGGCGGAATAGTGGAGATTTACAAGAAACTGATACCTGCGCTTTAAAACCTCGTCTCGACACGCAAGATCCAGTATCATCCTTAACAAAACTACATTAAAGACACGTGGTAAAAAAGGAAAGAAAACGTAACAACGTTCAGTGGGTCTTAATTTCTTTATTTTCATTACTATCAAACCTTTGGAAGTCCTCCAATAACAACGAGCTTGATTGGGAATATAACTGGATATTAACAAAAATGAAGGAAAGCTGAAAATCCGTACAGAATATAAATTCTGAGAATTCAACTTCCTACAAGCAATAACAAGTTGAAAAGGGATTTTCTACTTTTTACCCATGGGGACTTGCGTAGGAGCCGTTTCGCTGCGGGTCTCGCGTAGAGTGAAAGATCTGAATGTGAAGGTATCCTGAAATTGGTCAAATGTGTAGATCCATTGCCAGATACACACGGTGCCGCCATCTTGGTCAATTTTGATTGTTCTCTCTATGGTAGATTCTGTGTGCCATTGTTCCTGGTATGTGGACGAGAACGAACCGCTGTACTTGGTGCTGGATTGAATGATTAGGAAGGCAACTGAGAATGAGACTTCCCAAGCGTGTGTCGTGGTCGAGGAAGAGGATTTGCTGGTGCCGACTTTCACCGAATACTTGAGCTCACCTTTGTGTACGTCCGCCCAGCAGGTGACCTTTTTCCAGGATCCGGACACATTGGGCTTTGGGATGACCGTGACCTTGGCGTTATGGTTATTTTTCTGCACAAAATCAAACTTATTGTTGTAATTTGTACCTTTGTGTATGATCAGGTCCGACTGCCAGTTCGGTTTTTCGCTGTTGAAGGGATACGGATGGACATAACTTCCCCCAGCATGTCTGATGTAGCCGTTCTCCTCGTCGATTGTGAACATCGCAGAGGAATAGCAGTTTTTATGCGGGAAAATGGCAGTGTTATCGCCAGGCTTGGCCCAACTACCCCAAGGACCCAGACAATGGCCTTTCGTACCAACCACTTTTAGATAGCCATAGTGCCCTTCCACTTGCTCCCATACCAGTTCATCTGCTTTGTCGCACTTGTCTGCTCGGAATTTCTCATAGTGATGACCAAGTCTCCACCAATTTACGTAGTCATAGCACCGCCCACTAGACCTATGTTTTAGGATGAACCTCGGACTGGTGTAGGCATCTGTAACCAAAAGAATAGTTTTAAGAATAGCCGATTAACTATTTAGCTGTCAATTCACCAAATAGTCAAGTTATACATCCATTTTAAACCAAATGCCCTGTCGAACAAACGTTCAAGGAACTATGAAAATTTCATATGCTAGTTCTGTTCTGCATCTTATCTCAATAAAAATCACGTTGACAGGTCCCTAACCAGAATTAAAAAGCAGTCCAAGAGCGTTTACTTGCAAAATACGGACTTAGCTGTGACGGGACCCCTTCAAGCATACTACCGTTTCAGCCTGCAATTTAACGATGCGTTTTTATAGCTTTCAGTGAAAAAAACCCTTGGTACTGCTTTTCAGTTATATACTACCAGCAGTATTTAGCGGAACTTGCCTGTTGCAGCCAACAGCGCCAAAGACAGTAGCATAAGAGTGAGGAACAAGCGCATCTTCTCGCAGTGACGAAAGTGGGTCGTAACGGATCCGGATCGAACGTCTCCCGAAAAGACAGATGGACAAAATGAGTATGAAAGCAGGGGTATTTATGCTTACTCGCACCGGAGATTTGCACGTGGTTTACCATATAAGGCAATGGTCAAGTGGGTGTCACAAATCGAATCGTGTGACAGATCCCCATTGGTTAGTCTAAGCTACTACTGATCTCTTTTGGAAGGACAGGTAATATTCTTTTTCGGAAACCACCCGGCGGAGTTCAATTTGTATGTAGTAAATAATGCACTGTCCACGAGCCCGATATCCACGATAGCAGGCCGAGCGTCAGCGAGGCATGCTATCGTGGATATCGGGCGAGGGGGTAACAGTGCATTATTTGTCATACATACTAAGGGAAATCGTGCATGTTCCTCACCCAAACCCCCTAACTTTGAATAGAACACGCTGATATCACCGCGCATGGAGTGATATCAAAGAATGGACTTTTCCCGCGCTTACGCCGATAGTTTCTGTCTAATTGTGGTCACCGTCCAATTATTTTCATTTGTGTGAATGGTTTGTGGTTGCGTGTGCTTTGGCAGAGATATGGGTCAGTGGTTTTTCTGTGAGAAGTTGGCTGCCCATCTCCCGCACGTGGCAGTTTCCTGCCCATCTCCCGCACGTGGCAGTCACTCTCATTCATTTTTCGGCAAAGCTGACAGCTACATTGTAGAAATGCTGTTTTCTGATGTTTCGGACGATNATGCATAATATTCAGTCCTATAATTCTGAAATCGTTTTTACTGAGTGAATCGGGTGACCTCATTTCCATGTAGGCTACTATCAACGCTTTTTTCTCCCTAAAAGAACGAATAACGATGTATACGTACCTTCGAAGGTCAGGCGTCATTATCCTTGGTTCCTATATGAATAATTGTTCTTGAGAAAGGAGTCAGGCGTCCAAGTTAAGCAGTTAACATTTTTTCCTGCATGTTTACATGTGCTTGGCAGCGTGGACCGCCCTCGTGATAGCTATCTGTGTGTCGCGGCCAATATACCAATGACGGGGCGCGTAATTATCGAGAGCAGGGGGATTCCCCATGGGGAAGAACCCATTCGTTTGAGAGAGGGATAATACGATTGGCTAGCGTACTTTGTAAGTAAATGTGACCGCAATGTGGTCATTTTGACGTGTCACTAGATTAGTAAATGGAAGAAAAAATGATGTGGATTTTATATAATTTTATTTCTGAAGCACATCGAACGCTTACTGTTAATTCAAAATGGCGGCTCTTAAAACTCTTGTCAGGGGGTGGAAACGCGCTACTTATATGATTAAGACGAGCCTGGCCGTCAATACCGGATATTGTTTTGTGACCTTGAGGAGCAATTAGGTTTGGTCGTTGCGGCACGCATGAACAGTGGTTGAACTACCACACCTGGGTCTTTTGTTTTTGACAACTGTTCACTCGTCTTCGAGGCGCTTGTTCAAGACTACAGGCTGATATCTACTAGTATTACCAGTGGCTTCATTAGTAACGTTCCCACAATACTTAGTTTTCTGTCTGTGCGTACATACCCTGAAAAAAGCCAGCCTCGCTGACGAGAACAATGGACGTTTCTCACCCCTCTCTAGGATTACCCCTGCTCTTGTCGGTCCTTTGGACCGACAAAGTACAAGATTTTACCGGTCCAGACAAATTTTGCCGGTCATGACCGATCGGACCGACAGTTTCAGCATGTCTGAATTGCAGGGAATTTGTTTTCCATGATAAATTTAATGTATGAACTTCCGGCAATAGGAAAAAGACACCTACTTTAGGTAAATTTGTCACTAGTGAAATAGGGTTCAGGACACATTATGCTTCTATGTGTTGTGTTCCTAGCAAAAATACCTAATCTTTAAAATATGTATAAATTCATTTTGACTTGAATATGGTTGCGGATATGAAAATTACAGAATAAGATTAATTAGAGAATTACGTGACCCTGTGTCCCATAGTTTGAATCTCTCGCTAACCTACAAATGGGAGCTTTTTGAAACCAAGAATTATGCCATGTATCAAACCAAGTCCACTTGGTTTCCTAGAAACTATGACAGATACATCAAACATTGTGACCAGGCAACCTGAGTCACCAATCTAAAGATAAATAAATCTATTTTTATTGACGTCCACATTTAAGACAATGTGTTAAATCAAGGCTTGGCCCAAAACACATATGAATGGGAAATTAAGACATTCAGGAACATCACACCCATGCCACTAATGTACAATTAATGATATATATATACTAGTACTGGTAAATAGTACAAATGAACATCCTGTGAAGACCACCTTAGGACATGTATGTGTGTAAAAGGCCATTCAGAATAGAAGATCCGAGGATCCATAGATCCACGGATCAAATATGGCGGACTCTACATGAAAGCAGAGCCGACTTATCCACTGATGGTCTCCCTGCCTCTACTAGTACATGACAGAAAATCCACAGATCCTCTGTTCTGAATGGGTTCTAAGACTCTAAGACTGAAGATGGAGGAACATGTTTTTTGTTTTGTATTTTGTTTTTTTTTTCTTTTTTTTCTTTTTTTTTTGGGGGGGGGGAGGGGGAGGCTTACAAAATCACTTATCATCAATAAACAAAAGGACCATGGAAAACTAATTTTGAAAAAGATTCTCATTACTCAATGGACATTGTTTTTAAGTTCACTGTTGATGACTCAATAAATTCCTTTGTAAATACCCCTTTTTCATCTTACAAAACAACACAACAATACAAGGGGTGCAACAAAAGTGAATCAGATCTACTTCAACAACAAACCAATTAGACACACACAATAATTATAATGTTTTCCTCCACAATCTAAGACTGCCATTTCTTCCAATGACAACAACTATCTACATCTTCATTCAACATAGATATATACTACACCACAAGAGAGAATCGGGAGAAAAAATCAATGTGCACACGTAATGAAATTTTCAAAGTATGCCCTTAAATCACAAAACACAACTTGAATGGTATCGACTGGCATGCAAATCACATAGATCTAATATATATATATATATATATATATATATATATATATAGCCCTCGCTCTGATTTCAGAATACCTCCCCCATGCACATGGACAGACAGGAGTGGGCAATTTCAATGGGCGTGGCTCAAGGGAGGTGTTCGTGATGACCACAAAGTAGCCAAGTAAATCACCACCTACAAATTGACCATGACCACAGATGAGAAAGACTAAGGAGAGAGAGAGAGAGAGAGAGAGAGAGAGAGAGAGAGTGCTAACTAGATGGATATCATATAAGATTTCCCCTACTAAGTACACGTAAAACCCTGAAAGTTGAAGGTGTTATTAAACTATACCAATCCAGTCTAATCCCCCTTTCACACCTGATGGCCAGCTGACATACCAAACAACTCACAAGAGATTAACACCATTAAGGCATTTCCTCTGAACAAACTACATATTGCAACCATGTATATAACACATGGGTATTGTATTGTACTGCAAATAATAAGCAAAAATCACATTAATATCCAGCAACTTTTCTTCACAGTGGAGTATTCTGATGGTACCAGAGGAATGCAGGTGAACAGGGTGGCAAGGGCTGGCCCAGGAAAATGTCTGAGAGGTTATCTCGGAGCCATTAGCCTCTATTTTAAGGGTAAAGACAAATGATCCCCAGGTGAAAAGTCAGACTGACCACTGGAATTCATGGAAATTCTGAGAGTTCAGCATAACACCTAAAGGGCAAGGCAGTGTCTGGCTGTCTGGCCAAGGAGAAGTGGTGGAAATATTCCCAGAAATTCTGTGAATTCTTCATTACAAATGAAGAGTAAGCAGCGTCTGGCCACCAAGCACAGAGCAAAATGACCAACGGACTCAGAGAAATTCTCGGAAATCTTTATTACATATGATTCTGGCCACCAGAGGAACAAGGCAATGGACTCACAGAAATTCTGGGAATTCTTTATTACATATAAAGGGCAAACAGCGTATGGCCACCAAGCACAGAGCAGAGTGACCAATGTTATCACGAAAATCCTGAGAATTCCACATTCTATTTGAAGGGTAGGCAATGTCTGGCAACCACACACAAAATAAGGAAAGCGGCTGCCATTTTCAGTGTTCATGGGTATTCTGAGGATTCTTGGAACATGCTGGTACTCTATCAGAACAGCTGTGAACTGCCAAAATAACTTTTTTTTTCTTTTCTTCTGTCTTTCTTTTTCCACTTAACTGATTATAGTTTTATCCCATAATGTCGCCATTATTTTCATTATTATTTTGGTGAGAAGAGAAAAATGATATTTTTGGCAAATTAATATACACTTAGTAAGTTACAACTCCTAGGTATTTACAAATGTATCGTTAACCAAAAGGTTAAAGCACATGTAGCATCATTTTTTATAAAGAATATCTCTTTTCTTCTGAAAGAAATAAAGCAGACATGACAATGTATTATACAGACAAGCTTTACAATGTCATTTAAATAGCGTAGCAGCCATTTGGCCACTTTAGTACAAACTTATGACTACTTTACACATTTAAAGATCTATTTGAGGTTTCTGAAGAGGGTTATGTCCCTCATAACAACAAAATCTGGGATCAGTTCAGAATGTCTCTGTTTTTCTTTGAGCAATAACAGACAAAAAAATTCAAATAAAAAATTTTGAATGGATTGAAAATGACAATTGACAAGTGTTTAATCCCACAGTTTCTCCAAACCCATTTCAATTCAGAAAAAAAAAAAAAAAAAAAAAATGCTGGCATTTCTACAAGTTATGGACTGAGTCACTTTCAGACGGGGCTTTCAGACCACCAAACTACTGGCCATATCCCACACCGCAGACTAGTGTGGGGAGTGTTAATAGTGTGATGAGAAAGGTTTGTAAAACCACCATCAGCTTCCGGAGTATTTTCACACTAAATAGTAGACACAGACGTCGTTGCCACACTTGCGGTCTGACTTTCACTATGATGAGAGCTACCAGGGATATAAAACGGTATTACCCTTATTCAAGGATGTTGTGTAAATGAAATCCAAATCAAAAAGGGGCGCTGTATCATCAATTTGTAGCCTCCCCTCTGTCAGAATATATTGTATAACCCAATATACCTCCAGATATAAATCTTGCCCCATACAGGTAAACAACACCTAGCACAGCATCAACATGTTGACACTGAATATGTCTGCATACTTGTTGATCAACACAACCAACCATTAAACAAGGTGCTCATTTGTCTTCACATCGCTGAATATATAATAAACACATAAAAAGTCTTTTTTTTTTTGCTGTAACTCTTGTGTATCAGACATTTTGGCAAAGCACACAAATATACCAGTAATATATTGATTTCCGCTCTAGTTTTCTGTTTAGAAATATGTTATGTGAATACATCTTTATCTGGCCTCCAGGCTGCAGATACCTCTTCAGGCTACAGCTGTACATAAAAACTTCCGGAATCTTCAACAAAGTTTACTAAAACTCTACCAGTCACAACTGAGGCTATCTTACAATGATATGTTTTTGAGGTTTATGTTATCTCTCTCTATCACACACACATACCTTATACAAAGATAAATCATTTATTTTGCAGTTCACCGTGAAACTACAGTCCAGTTAGGCAGAAGCAATGACAACAGCAACTTTAAGACAATTCAATTTATTCATGCCTCTTTCATACGTGACAGCATATATTAGTAACCAGTCTAGACAGCAAAAATCTAATGTTAAGAATGTATAAAATGTTGTGAATTCAAATGTCCACCTACCTTCCGATCTCGCCCTCTATGGTAAATCTCTCTGTTAGGGGCTCTTGCCTGATGTCACAGTTGAGTTTGTGTTCTCCCGCAGGCATCATTCTCAAATTCAGTAATCTATCCAAAATATTATTCAGTTCGACACTGTTCATCGTTGGCCCACAAATGTGGTAAAATTCACTGGTGTCCCTTCACTGCGACCCTCTCTGTGTCTGTTGGTGTGACACAAGAAGGTTGTGTTGCTTGATCCAACTTTTTACCCGTTCTGACCAAGTTAAAAAGACCGTGTGAAAAAAATTGAATATTTTCGGCCTTATTATCACGATCTGTCACCAGTGCAGTCTGATTGTCCACAATTAATTCCTCGCTCGTGCTGATGATAATTCAGATTTAAACAGAATGACGTCGACCAGAAACGGTTAGGTCACATTATAAATGTGAGATATGTGAAGATAATTTTATGAACGCAGATAACTGCTTATCCCCTCTAATGACAAACTCGAATCGGTGCAAAACTTCAAATGGCAGTTATGAATTTGTCACCGGAGTCCGACACCTCGCGCACAAATTTCCCGTCAGGTATCCAATATCAACCTGCTTGGTAATCAAAATCAGTACAACCTAACTTCCTTGATGCGTTGAGCGTTTATAAGCTTGGTAATTTCCCGCAGTTTTGTTGAACTACCTTCTTTCGCTCGGCCACAAAATTCCTGTGTGCTGCATCATGAATGAATGGAGCGGTTTGATGACCTCTGACGTCACAATTTGACCTCTCTCTGAACCTTCCGTCCTTTTCAAACTTTTCTGTTTGCTCTCGTTATCAGTTGCCTCGATGCCCTTTCAGCAGTATGATTAAGAACATTTAGCAGTCATTAAAAAGATAGCTATGTTTATATTGTGATAGAGAACCAGGAATTGCAAATTGAACAACAATTTATTTAATGTCGTCTTCTCTTGGTCAACAATCATTCATTTTAATATGTGCTGCCCTCTCACGGCAAGGCAAAAAACAATACGCATTTTATTACAGAAAACTAAAACCCAATAAACTGTCCTTCCTAAAAAAAAAAAAAAAAAAAAAAAAAAACTGGTCTGTGTGTGTGGAGGGGGGGCACTACAAGGTAAAAATACTTTTTAATATGCTGGTAAATATTCTTTGTCAACTTCCTTTCTATCGTAAGCTTTTTTTAATGGGCATTATTCAAGAAAATACTTAAAACTGACCACCCTAGTTAAACACCGATAATCAATATCTTAATTTAAATTGTACATACCACTCACATGTAAAGTAAGATTTAAAAAACACCAAGCAATGACATCAATAATTCATTTTATTTACATATATCAAGATATTACAACTGAAAATGTAGTTGCTGACAATAACAATCAATGACCCAAGTTTGATTACATAATTTCTTTCAGTTTGTTTGTGTGTGGTATGACCACCAGTATATCATTAAATAATAGAAAACAAGTCACACAGCATCATTTAAACTGTGCCCAAAAATTTAAATTTAAGTTTCCACCCTCTTGTAAACAGCTGTGAACATGACCTTTAACTGTACATAAAGCAGTCTTTAAAATTAAAGATCTCAGCTTAATTTTCTGTTTTGTACAAGTAATAGAAAAATCAATCAAGTGAGGATCAGATATACATGAGATAAATCAATCATGCCTTTCCCATTATGTTGCCCAAGCCACATCCATCACGTTGGTTAAATTCNAAAAAGCTGGTCTGTGTGTGTGTCTGTGTGTGTGGAGGGGGGGCACTACAAGGTAAAAATACTTTTTAATATGCTGGTAAATATTCTTTGTCAACTTCCTTTCTATCGTAAGCTTTTTTTAATGGGCATTATTCAAGAAAATACTTAAAACTGACCACCCTAGTTAAACACCGATAATCAATATCTTAATTTAAATTGTACATACCACTCACATGTAAAGTAAGATTTAAAAAACACCAAGCAATGACATCAATAATTCATTTTATTTACATATATCAAGATATTACAACTGAAAATGTAGTTGCTGACAATAACAATCAATGACCCAAGTTTGATTACATAATTTCTTTCAGTTTGTTTGTGTGTGGTATGACCACCAGTATATCATTAAATAATAGAAAACAAGTCACACAGCATCATTTAAACTGTGCCCAAAAATTTAAATTTAAGTTTCCACCCTCTTGTAAACAGCTGTGAACATGACCTTTAACTGTACATAAAGCAGTCTTTAAAATTAAAGATCTCAGCTTAATTTTCTGTTTTGTACAAGTAATAGAAAAATCAATCAAGTGAGGATCAGATATACATGAGATAAATCAATCATGCCTTTCCCATTATGTTGCCCAAGCCACATCCATCATGTTGGTTAAATTCTGTCCATTATTATGGTTTAACAATGTCCATCAAGTTGGTCAAGCAATGTCACTCATGCTGGTCATTTCCTGAATGTGATGGTGCTGCCAGGACCTCTCCTCTGGGCATTACAGATACTGCAGTTTTCCTGAAACGGACATTTTGAAACTTTAAGTTCCAACAATATTTTATTCATTGGGAAAAATCTGCTAACAGGCTCAACATGAGTAATAAAATATTTTTTCAAAAGAGAAAAGAAAAGGATTATATTAAAAGAAAAAAATGTTTTTTTTTCCTGAAGAAAAAACTCAAAAACATTATTAATTTCTTTTTTCTATGTATCAGGCTTTTTAATTGGTCAAATTCAAAAGGAAAGGTGTGGAACAATATTGCCTTAAAGGCAACGATTGTGTTTTGTCTCATCCATGCAATGTGTTGAAATCACACCAACCACAATCAGTTCAACAAGTCACTCCAACCACACTGCAGAACTACTGTTTTTAAGCTTTTTTAAGCTTTTACTTGAGGAATTAGCAAGATTTTTGAAAATGAATTTACATGTCTTTTTTTTTAATTAATGAAATAATTGCAACATCTCTGATTTAATACTTTTTTTCATATGATAAAAAGCAAGTTAAATGTTAAAATGGAAGAAAATTGAATTACTCCAGGAAAATTCTTAAATAATTGAGAGAAAAAAGTTCTTGCTTTAAACATATCTGTACCAAATTTTTGCAGTGAGATATTGAAAGAACGTACAGTGGCATTTGCTGGAAGACAATCTTCATGGAATGCATGGCGACAGTAGAAAATAACAACATCACTAGCAAACCGCATGTCTGGAATTAAAAAATAAATATATCATTATTTCTTTCCCACTTACAGCTGATTATGTATTTATAACCATGTTAACTGTCAGTTTAAATAAAATTTGAATAAAAATTAATAAAATATCTGTTACCATTTAAATTTTTATAAATTATATAAATTGAAATTATACAATTATACAATTTTTATCAATGTTAATTTATGATAAAGTTCACATTTTCCTTCATGATAACATTGACCATAACTAAAAAACAAATGTTAATATATTCTTTTTAATCTTAAAGTGGAAAAATGTTGATCTGTAATAAATTCCAACCAAACAGATGCCTACCTCTGACTAGTATTGTGTTGTGACAAGTCTGGCACTTCAGTTCACCTGAAATCACATGAAATTCTCTCATTTTTTTCTAATATATATAATGAGAAACTAGTCAAGGCAAAAATGTAAGGAAATATTTTTGGGTAAATTAGGACTTGTTTTGTATCTATTTATGCTTCCAATGACACTAAATAAGACCATTTGTGTAATATTCTTAAAAAGTTTTTTTTATGTATCCATTTATGCTTCAGTAACGCTTAATAAGAAAGACTATTTGGGTAGTATTTTTTTAAGTTTCTAATTATAGTAAAGATAACTCACTGTCCACACATATTCCTCTTCTCTGTGTTTTGACAAGACGCTCCAATAAACCATAACAATCTTTCACCAGAATCTTCTGACACCCCTCTCTCAATGACATCTAAAACATTTATATCCATATCAAAACTTAAAAGTTATCAAAAGGAAGCAGTTTCCAAGCTATCTGTCATACTCTTATGCTCCCGCCCTCCCCTTTGTCTTCTGTAGCATGTAGCTACCAAGAGCTTTTACTCCAGAAACGCTTTTTCATCTAGCATTATCTTAAAGAGACATTTGCAATAATTTTTCCTCACTTCAGTATATTTTTCACGTCTTTCTGTATTAACTCAATATGATATTTTGGTCACCTGGTGTATTTTTCACCTGTTCATTTCTATAAAGCGCCCCTATCCTCCAGTATTTACCTGTAAATTGTAATCATGAAGAATCTTGACCAGGGAATCTCGTAGCCCTGGGATTTCCATGCCTTCTCGGATCTTTTTAATCAGGATGATGGGGTCCACGTGAGTCCCTATGTTGTTCAATAATCCCTTGATGAACACTGGAATGGAAATAAAACAACTTAATTCAGTGAATAAGACATTAAAGCTCATAACACACACATAAGCTTGATGATTTATTTCCTGATTTTTTTTTAGACATTGATTTAGTTAAAAATTCAATTTGGCCAAAATTGGATATCATTATCTGAAGTTGGTTCTTTTTTTAAAAGCTAGGTATTTGTAGCTATTACTTTATTCAAAGCTACCCAGGTGATAAAAAGGGAAAGTGCTTTTGTACTTCAATAAAGAAACATTAGCTACCAAATTTGTGAATTCATTAACCTTCATGACAATAATAATAACACTAATAATAATAATAATACAACCAGGAGAAGTTATCAATTTTTCAGCTACATAATTATGAAATCATTTAAAGTACATTTCTATGTGGCATTTTGGTGCTATTACCATATAGAACAGGGCCCCGTAACTCGAAGGCATTGCGCATTGCGAATAGCTTTATCACATCTTTATCACAGGCTACATTGTATTATATGGGGCGAGTATGGACGAGTTATGGAATCGAGATGCTTGCGCTCGGTCACAATGCGCGATGCTTTCGAGTTACGGGGGCCAGATCTATCAAGTAGTCTGCATTTCAATTGTGTTGCTTCCACTCCACAGTAACATTCTAATTTCAAGAATTTTTTACTTAAAACGTACAATATCTGCAAAATTCACAACTTTTCCGGTTGGAACGATAGAGCCATTGCCATAATACTTACAAGGTTTCCCAATGGAGAAATCTATCAAGTCATCCCACAGGTCCTGGTCATTGTGTTCCTTACAGAACTCTATAGCTTGGCTGACATCTCCCAGCTCTCGCGTGATCAGCATCAGAGCCTGCTTGGTGTTCCCCATACGACCTTAAAGAAACAAGTTGGACACTTTTTACTCACTGGTGCCAGTCAGTTGACCAGTATATTAAGAACCAGACTAGTCAAAATGTGGGATTTTTCTAAGGTACTAGTTCAAGTGGATCATCAGATGTTAGCATGTGATATAAATCATTTCTCCATGCTATGTAAAATGACAGAACTCATTTTTTGGTTTAATTTAAATTGATTCAGTCTATTCTGTAGTCTGTCAGTTTCAGTATGACCACTGGGCTCAAAAATTGAGGGTAAAATCTGGTTTAGTAGCAGTCATCTCCTAGTTCAGATAACATAATATGTCCCTCCGAGAATACACATTACTAGCAACTAGCACAATCGAATATGGATGACACTTTTCACTAGAAAACATTTTTTAACAACGTATTTAATTTTCTCAAATTGCAGTATTATTTGATGATTTCTTTTCACTCTCTCTCTCTCCCTGTCTTACCAAGCAGGAACACCATCTCAGGGTAGAGCTGTCTCTGTTGGCACTCCTCTAGGGCTTTCTGGAGAGGGTAGTAGTTGCTGCTACGCAGGAAGGACAGCAGTTTTGACCGGTCGTACTCGGCATACAGTTTGACTTGCAGTGCATGGAACTCTTGACCAATGTGGTGGTCCTTCTGGAACAGCCTGTCCAGGTACTGAAAGTAGGTCACAAAACTAGGTCAAGTTTTTTTTTTTCCTTCTTTTTTTTTCAGAAATTGTTCCTGGTGTAAATGGTTTTAATAAAACATGGACACACTCTTTTATGTGATAAAACTGAGTAGGTGATAAACTTGATTAGTAGTGAACTTGTTCCTGAATGCAGCATGCATAAAAATAATTTTTAAAAACTGTACTTCACTCACCACATGAAGAAGTTCAGGTGTTTTCTCCAGCTGATGTACAACTTCCTTGATCTGAACAAAGAGGAATATTACATGGAAAAAATCAAAACACAATAATGGTTGACATTTTGCTTGAAAAAATACCAAACTAACAATATCATTTAAATATTTTAAATCAAATAAATCACACATTTATATTTTTCTCTCAATTTCGTTCTTCCTAAAAGTCAGAACATAAAATAGGAGGTAAGTCATCAAGTCATATTTTGCATAAATAAAAATTTTAACCTATTGCCGACCTTACAATTTTACAGGACACTCAAGTATATGATATTAAAACTTTTTTAATGTAAGTATCTCTCTCTCTCTCTCTCTCCCTCTCTCTCTCTCTCTCTCTCTCTCTATATATATATATATATATATATATATATATATATTTCAGTTGTGTTGTCTGAAACTGACCGGCACTTTGTCCATGTTGTCCAGAAACATCTCGACTGCCTTCTCTCTGTTAAACTTCATCAACATGACAATCTTGTCAGCGATGGAGTCAAACAGGTTATGTTTGTGAATTAGCTGGAAAACCTCTGGATGCTGTAACCTGGAATATGGTTAGAAGAGTGAGGATAGGACAGGTTTAAGTAATGACAGAAAGGTTTTGATTCATTTATCTTCTCAATTTTAGAATAAAAGAGGTTTTGTTTTTGAATCACTGACTTAGGCATGTATTGTACACTTAATTGAGATGGGTAAAAGCTGACAATGTGTTACATTTATATAACATATCAGTACAGGGGCGGATCCAGAGCTATTTACTGACAGTCTTCCAAATTATCTTTGTTGATTCATCCTTCAATTTTGACCATCTTCCAACATGAAAAATTGGATACCCGTCAATGTAAACTTGAAAATCTGACCGTCTTCCGGAAGACCCAGAAGACGGCCTAAATCCGCCCCTGCAGTATAGTATAGTATTTATGACAAATATATCACTCTTTATTATGCAAAACCAAATTCTGGGTAAAATGAATCAATTTACAAATCACATTAAGACTTATTTTGGTTCCACAATGATGTACTCAATGAAAACTGTACTACACTTATTCTCTACCTGAGAAATATTGCCAAAGACTTGTCAAACTGCCTGGCATTGGTATAACTGGAATGAGATATTGAGATACATTTCAGCGTAATGATGAATGACTCATGGTTGCATCAGATGAAATCTCATGTTATCACAGTCATATATCAGGGATGAGACCAGTCTTTACTGAAAAAGTAGGAAAATTGGCCGGGGGTTCAGGGTACACCTTTCATAAGAATAACCCAAATGACCCTGAAAAGGCAGAATTCTGACAAAAGTCGGAAAAGTCTCATCAGTGTTTTATATGATGAAATTAATGTTTCTGGTTGTAACACTTTTGCGTGTTCTTGATATAAAGTACCAGTATCTACATGAAAATTGTCGTCTCCACCCCCATTCCACCTATAACACTGTGACTTGAAATACCCCCATTTTTTTTCAGCTGAGGTTCCCCATGTAATAAAATCCAGTAAAAACTTTCATAAAGGCTCCATTTTCTAATAATCTGAAATACAACAATACTTACAGTTCTCCCAGACACTCCAGTAGAGTGATATTGGTCTCGTCACTGTCCAGCCGGTCAAGGACAGCATTTACCAGCACCTGATTGTTGTACAGACCCAGCGGCCACTCCTTGATACGCCGTTTGAAACCCTGAAACATTAAGATATCATGAAAATCCAAGACATCAAAAATAAATAAAAATCTGTATAAAATTTACAGATAAATATTTTACTGGTTCTGTTGACAGAGGTTGTTAAAGGGATAATGACTCTTTGTATGAGATCTATATTTCACAATAAAATCATTGTGAACAACTCATAGAAATATTATATATTCTGTTGTACAAGATAACTGGCAGTTATAGCTATTATTCTGATATCTGAGCTTGTCTTTAGACCACGTGACCTCCATTGATGGCTATACTCTGTAATTATCTCTTAAGAGAGATTATTACAGAAAAAAAAAAACTTTTTAGAAAAAAACCAGGGTCTAACTTCGAATGTAAAAATGGATTCATTAACCATTGGTAAGTATGGGAAAATTGTTGTTTACTCCAGGAAAATTAATTTTTTTGACAAAACGAAGAGTTATTATCCTTTTAAGTTAAGAGATATTCAAACTGAGACAGTAGAGGTATATGTGTCACTCCATTGAGCCGGATATGAAAGTATAATCACCAAATCTAGGGCAATTTCAGATCATTTAAGTGTTTTCTCCACCTTACTTTGAAGTATATTCACTTCTGATAGACCTATAGCAGTATGATATATCATATTGTAATATGAAAATGAATCAATTTGACATGCAAACACACATACAAACATAAACACATATAACATATTGATGAACAAATTACAAACATGCATACACACGCACACACACATCTTGACTGTCCTACCTCATAATCTGACTGTAAGAAATCATTAAGCACCATCTCATATATAGGTTCACTGAGTTTGACATCTTGTCCCCTCCCTGTGGGGATGTATGGAGCTATGACCTGGATATATATAGACACCATTATGTCAGTTGGGGCTGGGGTGACTGTGTTAACTGTAATATGCTTAAACGGCAGTTTGTAAACTTCTTAAATTTGTTGAACTTTTTAAGTTCGATTGACAAATGAACAATGTCATATTTCCATAATTCTTTCATATTAAATCAAAATTTACAAATGGCATCAAAATCACCTGTGCATATTGAAGTATTGTCTCAAGGCAGGTAAGAAAAAAATATTCACAAAGAAAAAAAAAACATTCATATTTTCAATATTTTTATCTCACCCTAAGTTGTCTACTCTGAGCAAACTTGTATATGGCATCCTCCCAAGCTTCCTTGCTCTTCCCGAGAATCTTCACACAGAGCTTGGCCGCCTCCTCAAACTCTCTCTCTTCAAGAAGATGCATCAGGTACAGTCTGCCTATTTCCTGATAGAAAGAGAGAGAGAAATTTTTATCACCAACATAAATCCAACCACATTTTAAAACTTTTTTTATGGTAAACTGTATCATTTCTGTTACATGGCTGTGTCAGAGAAAAAGAAGCTATAGAGAGTTGGGTTACTTTTCATGTCAACCCACCTCCCTATATTAGGTCTATATCAAGACACTAATAAAACTTGACCCTAGGAAAACTATTAATTTTATCAAGAATACTTTGACATTTAAATCTTAAATTCTGTCTAAAACCATGGCACACCACCTGATATGAGTTTCTCTTCAACTCTCTGCTGTTCTTTGATGCATCTTCCATGGCCTCCTGAAAAAATTAACAAAACTTTTTTTTTAATACACTGGGTTGTTAACTCAAAGGTAAACCTTAAGAATAATCTGCTATCTCAGTGTTACTTTAACACAAGGTATAAAACACATAAATGATGAACATGAAGACATTTTCTGTGTGTACCAAAGGCATATCCAGACAGCAAGATTAGCCTGTCTTTTTGGGAGCATTCCTACAACCTCAAAACACTAACTGGATCAATCTAACTCCTTGGGGAATTTAGCTAAATTGCATTCAGTTAAAGCAACTTAAATGTCTGGCACGCTCCTTTGTAACGTAAAGTACTTGGGGGAAAGTCAGGGAAACTTTGTGGCTTTGTTCATGATGCTTTGCAAAGGAAAAATGCAGAAAGCTCTATTACACAAAGCATGTATATAAGGTTGCATCGCTCTCTCTCTATGATGATCCCAATATCCACGATTAGCAGTAATACTTTACTTTACACACACCTCATACATTTCATGTTGTAGTAACCAATCCAAATGGTCATCCAGATCCCTTGGTTTTGCCACTACCACATCTTTAGGACTAATGATATAGAACAGGTTCTCTTCTATTATAGACTCTGTTAAATAAAACAGAAACAAAACTTAGGACAAGTATATAAAAGCAGGCAAATCTGTACACCCCTTTGCAAATTTTCTAAAACAATCACCCCCCCCCCCCCCCCCCCAAATTGTCACGTCTAGCACAATCACATCTAGCATAACAACAGCCAGAATTTCCCCACACATGACCTTCTCACCTAAATGGTAATCACTACATCTATACTCCTGGAATCCACGTATGGAAAGAGCATCATCGGAGATCTCCTCGTAGCTGTCAACTTTGGGGTCAATCACTTGGAGGTGGGGCCTGTTTGCCACCACTTTGCCTCCCTCCTAAAAATAGTTTCAGTATCTTCAGTGTTATTAAGTCTTATAGACAAAGATACAGACTTGTTTTGAAACAGCTTGCTCTGTTCTAAATTCTTTTCTGATGGGATCTGACAGAAACCTTCTGCCATTATATGCATAAATTTTTTGAAGATGTTATCATCTTTTGAAATTCTGAGCAACATTTATTTAATAATTAAAATGAACAAAAATTTTAATAAAAATCCATCAAAAGTGTCCAGCTTAAAGATAAAAACATTGGGCACATTAAGAGAAATACACCAATTATCAAACTATCACTCACAGTTACTTCTTCTTTCTCATATGTCAACAACACTAGCTTGTCCGCCATTGGTGCGATACCACAGATGTAGAAATCTGTATCAAACATGGCCACTGAATACAAAGAGAAATTGTTAAATATCTAACAAAATTAAACTTTACTATAATGAAAAGGTCTAACACACATTATTTATCTTCAAGCTAAGTCATGCTACTTACAAAGAAATTTTGCCTCTACTGTATACAAAAATACATCACTATGCCCAGCTATCACCTATTTCTACATATCGACTAGGCAGGTCTCGGACATCATTCCTGTCCCTTTCCCGAATGACGCAAATTTTGACCTTGTCAGCCCAGCCAATCAAAAGAGTTCTATCATCCTTCCAGCTCAAATGACAGCGGTAGATTTCTGAGCGGAGGCTAGAAATAGTAAATGGCACTGCTGTTATTGATTGTAAAATAGGTCAAACAAAATGATTTGGTAAAAGGAAGACAGCCATAAACTTATACCATGAATATTTACTTAAAGGGATAATAACTCTTCGTATGAGATCTATATTTTATAACGGAGGCTCATATTGCAGTTGTATTCTTTTTATTCTTCCGTAAATACAAGTCATGATCTCCATTAGTTTAACAGTGAAAACGTTGATGTCTATACCCTTTACTGTAATCCTGTAATAATAAACAAATATAGTACTTAGACTTCGTTCGTTATTATTTTACCTTTCGTTGCGTTACAATCTAAGTATACTCATTAACTTGCTATACAGTTTTTCTAATAAGGGCTTTCGCTTACACACTTAAGTTATAAGACTTACTTCTAGGTTTAGACATTATTGTTACTTTTGCATTTTAAATTATTAGCCTTTAACTATTGTTATATAATAAAAAAGATAGAATAAATTACCTTGACTTAAGAAATATCTGTTAAATGTAAAGCGCTCTTTTGCATGAAACCACATGGTTTCGGACATCTTATAACAAAAAATAGTACCGGAAGAACAAAAATGACTGCGTTTTAACAATGTAAAAAATATGTATATATTTAACTGCAAAAATGTAAATNCAATCTAAGTATACTCATTAACTTGCTATACAGTTTTTCTAATAAGGGCTTTCGCTTACACACTTAAGTTATAAGACTTACTTCTAGGTTTAGACATTATTGTTACTTTTGCATTTTAAATTATTAGCCTTTAACTATTGTTATATAATAAAAAAGATAGAATAAATTACCTTGACTTAAGAAATATCTGTTAAATGTAAAGCGCTCTTTTGCATGAAACCACATGGTTTCGGACATCTTACAACAAAAAATAGTACCGGAAGAACAAAAATGACTGCGTTTTAACAATGTAAAAAATATATATATGTTTAACTGCAAAAATGTAAATAATGAAAACCAAAAGACAATAATAATTTAAAGAAACACAATCACAAAGTGTAAAAGATAAGTTAAGTAAGCTATCTTCGTGCAGAACTTATTTTCCCGCGTAGTAAAATAAACGCAAACAAAAAATGCATACTTCCGTCGCAATCTTGTGAGAGCATCTATCGCAATCACTAACTAACATTACTGGCTGCAGTTACATATTTCACAATAAAATCATTGTGAATAACTCATAGATATATAATATATTCTGTCTTACCACAAAAACGGCAGTTATACCTATTTTTTCTGATATCTGAGCTTGTCTTTAGACCACGTGACCTCCATTGATGGCTATACTCTGTTAAAATCTCTTAAGAGATTTTAACAAAAAAACCAAACTTTTTAGAAAAAAATCAGGGACTAACTTTGAATGTAAAAATGGATTCATTAACCATTGGTAAGTATGGGAAAATTGTTGTTTACTCCAGGAAAATTCATTTTTTGGCCAAAACGAAGAGTTATTATCCCTTTAAGTTTATTAGGGTTTCTAAGAGAGAGAGGGAGAGAAAGGGGGGAGCCAAAAACTGTCATCAAACAACACAGATGCACTGACAGGGTCTAGTAAACATGAATACAATTTTCTATACTCCTTCTTTTATTGTGCATGTTTGACAACAAGTGTGTTGAAGAACCTGTTTTATACAGGCTTTCCATTCCCAACAATCTAACTGAAAACAGATGAGGATACGAAAAACTCGTGAGATATTGGCACTCAAATGAAAATGTGTTCTGTAACCTTTATATAATATATTTACCTCTTATCAATGTCTTTCTGGATGTATGTGATTCTTTGCTTGGTGCTCATGTCATATACTTTAATACCCTTGATAAAATGAATCAAATCAAATAAAAGACAATGAGATAAAAATATCTATTGACAATATATAAATATTTTAATTTTAAAATCTGCATTTGTGTGATTCATTCACCTGTCCTTGTCATTTTCAAACCCCAAATATAAAATTAAAAATAATTAATGAAAAGAAATTGCAATAATATATAGAAATAAATTTATAGTAATCATTTTATTTGAATATTATTCAGCCAATTGTAGATAATAAAAAATAATAACAAGATATTTCCAAGTGCTCTTTTATTGGTAACTCACCCTATCATTTGTCCATGCAATGAAGTATGACCTCCACTTGATATTCCTAATAGGACCTTCCCCATCATGAAGTATGGTTGTCTTGTGTCGACTCAGGAAACCTTTCTCATGAAGAGTGAGCTGGAAGAATGAACATTGTGTTGTGTTTGTTGGGTGCAAATATCACTGTATTAAGTACACTGGCATATCCACAGGGGGCAGGGTATGTATGTTTTATCTGGGGGGGGGGGGGGGAGCTTATTCAACTAGCAAATATATAAGAGCCGACAGGGTGGGTGACAGGGGCTGGCTGAGTGTCTTTATTTCATCAATAACTACATTTTTCAATGTCGTTAGATGAAGCAAAATGGCAGTATTACACCTACAATTTAAGATGAATCAAACACCCTCCAGACAAACACCAGTGTCTACACTATCTGATCAGTGAAGTCTGTTGTCCCCCCCATCCTTCTTACCTTCTCGTCTCCAGTGACGTACTGTCGCCCCATGTTAGGGCGGTAAAATCCTGGGTCCAGGGACACGGCTTTGATTGGACGATCAAACTGGAACTCTTGATTATTGTCTGAGCCATACAGGCCTATGATGACAACCTGATGGGAATATAAGATTCAACCAAGTATATGTATATAGAAAGAAGAAATAAAGAAAGAGGGAAATGATACTGTAAACTCTGCATGGTGTATGAAAGACTTCATAAGAAGCTGTTGATGGCAAAAAATAAGCATTTTTGGGATTTAAAGACCCATGGAATGTACCATTAACTTTAAACTTAGTCATTACCAGATACCAGAATTTTTAACACATAAATCTTTAGGAGTTGTTTGGCTAAATAGGGTCAAAGAAAAATTCTAAATATTTTACTTTTAATCTATGGTAATGGCTTGATCACTTCAACAAGGAAAATAATGAATTTTACAGATACTGTACCTTTTTAAGTAATAAAGCAGACTACCAAATAGTTTTATTCTATACATTAAAAGCACGCAACACAGAAATGCATTTTTAATGATTCCAAATATTAATGTATATATGAAAAACTGATAATTTTTTCCTGTTGAAATGACAGAGCCATTACCGTACCACGTACCCTGCCATCATCTGAACAGCTAGCCATGTAGTCTCCGTTGCTGTCTATGCTGATTTGGTTCACTGTGGTGGAATGCTGAAAAGTAAAAAAAAAAAAACTAAATGTATAATATTCAGTTTTCTTTCATTCTTATTATTTTTATTTTTTATAATATTTATCTATTTATTTATTTATTTATTTATTTATTTATTTATTTATTTATTTATTTGAATAACTTAAGTAACAAGATAAATAAAATGAGAATAATCAAAAAACAGAAGTCTAGTGAATTCCCATGAACATACAGAAGAGAATTGTTTCTTGGTACGTCACATCTCTTGATGGAGACAATCAGTCAATACTTGAATTGAATTCAAAATTCAGAGTTAAACTTAGACATTAACTTACTGGATTCCTCTCCTTGTTTCTGATGTTGTTACCACTGTGATCTAATATATACACTCCTCCCCAGTGAGTACCTAGGGCTAAGAACTGAAAGAAAAATCAATAAACAAATAAATAACAGATATCAATTAATATATAACTTGGTGCTGTCAAGTTGTTTCTACTGTTATTTCAACATATATATTAATTATATCTTTTCAATGAGGAAAATTATCTGTCTTTCTGCTACATAATTTTGGAATCATTAAAGTTCATTTTTCCTTATAGCACGTGGTTCTTTTTCTATATAGAACAGAACTATAAGCCTAGGTAGGCTGCTTTTTAGTTTTGTTGCTACAACTTTATAGGAATGTTCTCTCTTTAAGATTTTCATTATAAAAAATACAGTAGCAGTAAAATATAATTTTCCCCACTAAGAAGATGGAGTCCTTACCGTTTCTATAGCTTTACCTTTGGGTGAACTGCCATACAACTAGCAGCCTCTTTCTGTAGAATGGTTGTAAGATCATTCTGGATTCTCTCATACTTCAATTTTGGTTCCACTTCCTGTCACAGAGATAGAGGTATATTGGCAGAAGCAAAATAGTGAAATAAATATCATCTGAGACTGTATGGAAGTAAAGTAGAGAAAATGTGAGCATTTCAACTGTTATAGTCAATGTGAAAGAAATGTTAAGTCTTGGCATGGTTATAACTGCTTGTTTATTACTAAACATCCAGGATACCAAGCAAGGGGAGAGAAGGATGTTTAACTTCACCTTTCTACTTCTCCTCTGTCCCTCATTTACATGTATCTATTTCTATTTTTACATTTTTTACATTTTTCATTTATTAAGATTTTAGTACTTTTGCAGTACCCTCCCCCCCTTACCCTGTAACTCTCTCATCAATGCTAATCAAACTTAAGTTAGATGATAATTTTGATCAACATCTCTGCTATTTCAACAAATTAATTTGGGAAATTTACCAACTTATTTTTCATCTTTCTTTCATATATTATTAAATAATTTTGCCAAACTCATTTACTTACGTAGAGGAGACAGTCACCATGCAAATTAAGTTAAATAAGGTATTGGAATTTACAGAGTTATATGGTGATGGGGGATATTACTAAAGTGCCAATATTTCTTTCCAAAACTGTACCTCCTCTGACTCTTCCTCCTCTGTGCTCCCTTCATCTTCTACAGAGGAGCCACCATCACTAGGCTTAAAATAAATACATAACATTGCTTATGTAACTTCATACAACAAAAATAAAAATTATTTTATGAGCTCAAAGTGTAATTTTTTTTTTTCATTCCTATATTTGTCATCCTGGGGCACCCTGAGCTTCAGAGATAACTTGATACTAACCTCTTCACTATAGCCTACCTTCATCNCACCTAGGTCTTTGGTGTTCTACTGTTTTTTTTTTTCTTTTATGGTAAATCTGCACAGTTGGCTCTTCATTCTTTGCTATAAAATAAATTAGTTTTATCCTTTACTTTTCCGAAGAGTCTTGATTCAAAGCCACCTCGCCGTCTCTCCTCCGTTTATGGTTTTAGTTCCTTCACCATGGGTTTTTACCACTGCAGGCAGTCTGTGAATGCTTGTAAAGTAAGTTACCTTCTCTCGATTAAATACCCTGCAGTAATTCATCATTTTGCTCGGTTAAATATGAAAAAAAATACAGAAAACGAAAACTGAACTACAGACATGGCTTGTTCATGCGCAGCAGACGATTCCTGTCTCCCTCCAGCATGGCTGCCGTTTGTTTTGATGACGCAGGCTCTACTGTAATGGGTCAATATAGAACAGAACTAATGTCACTGTAAGACGCTCTTCGGTTAAATAGAACAGGCAAAGCTGAAAGAACTGAACTTTTTCGGATAGTAATAGCATATCCAGTACACCGTTTAAGTATTCCTTTATTGCCAGTCATCACATTTTCCACAAAACAGTAATCAGGAAATAAACAACTTAGGAAATTAGCATGAGGAATATGTAAACAATTCGAACTTCATCGACTCGGCGAGTCATTACAGAGGGCGTACATCAATATCTATTTGATCCAAGTAGAAATGAAAAGCAACCAGTATAGCAGATTGAATGTCACATGAGTTTGTACATAGTGAACCGTTCTAAAACACAAATGATATCCTAAAATATTTTAGCATACTAACCAAGTGCTCTTTCTCGGCCATTGCTGCACGTGACATCAAATGACCTAGTTAGACCTCGATGACCTATTTGTCTCGTCCATAAAAATTCATCCGCCATTTTTCCCTCTTATATCCTGATTTTTGGAGATTTATGCATTATTATGGTCTTTTGATTATGTACTATAATTGTATTTGGACAATCACCAAGATTTTGTATAAGAAGTCTGTGTTCTGTAAGGGGACTTTTTTGTTTCTTGCCATTGCTTTCCGGCGGAAGTCGTGGATCATTCATTATGCTGAGACAAATTTCTTGGAGCATATTGCAACTAAAAAAGGACCATGTTTTAAAATTATTTTAAATAATGAAAAGCTTCACAGTAATGATTTATATAAACCGTGAATTTTATGCTCTGAGAGATATTTAAACTTTCACCAATTCATATTTTGGTAAATAACAACTAATGGATGGTCCCTCTCCCAAACCTCATTTGCATTTCTCAATTTCCACCGAATGCTGAAACTCTATACCGAAAGAATGTGCTTGAAGATTCGATGAAAAAATCTGCCGACGTGTATCGTAAGTGGGCTAATTTAATCTTGCGTCTTGTCTTCCTTGATTCGCCGGCGGCATTAGGGGTAACTGACTGAGAATACTAAAATATTAATCATTTTATTATCATAATTTATCTGGTAATAGACATGTGCGTTTTCTGGTCTTTTGTTGTCATTTAACCGGTCTCTGGGATTTGCAGGAAAAATTCACCAGATTGGTTCTACAGGAGCTTGCCAGAGGGAAGAATCGGCGAGAAATCGAGCGAACATTAGACGTCGAGTGAGTAACGATGTGTTGGACATGGGAAGAGCTGTCAAATTTAGCATAATTTATAAGCGGTAACGCGGTTGTGGGTTATAAAAATAAAATGGGTTGGCATTCATAATCAGCTGAGAATGCGTATGATGATCAGATTGTTGATTGTGTCAGTGAGTAGTGCTTGTACACATGTTTGCTACCCAGCAGTTTCTACATCATTGGGACAAACTGGGATGCCTGATCATAATGCACTATTTTCACATGCTCTTATGCTAAGTTTATTTACATGGCTGGGTTATGTTTACACTCTTGTTTATATTTCTTCTGCATTGTAAAACTAAAAGGTAAACAAACATGAAGCATTGTAATATGAATGGAAGTTTGAAGTTATCCATGTAGAATTGGGATCAAAAATATATTAAGTCAAATATAATGCACAATTCTAGAATATGAAAATAAAATCAAAATTAAAGCAAAATAAAGATAATTTAAAAGAAAAAGTTAGACTTTATAGTACTTGGATAAAAATATATAGATTACAACATGAGATGATGCAGTGGTATTTTATTTAAAGTATTTTGTACTGATTGTATTTTATTTTAGGTTTATAACACAATTCGATTGTAAACAACCAATTACTTTAAATAACATCTAAATTATTCTTGTGATGAAGTGTTTCTTGCCAAAGATCTCCTGGTGTTTGTTTTACCTTTTACAGAATGACATTTCAGGTTTGATAAAAAAAGAAAAAACAGTAAGCAGACTGGCAATATCATCTAGAATTTTACAAAAAAAAAAAAAGCTCTTGATAAAGACCAGATACAGCAGATGAAGAAAATAAGATATACCAGTACTTGATTCATAAATTTATGTCATTTTTTACCATTGACTGATCTTGATGAATGAGATAAAAAGAACCTGCCAAAGTGACACTAACAGTGGATTGTCTTTTCATATTTTCATACAGCTTGCAACATCTAAAGTGCTTTCTGGTCCCATTTCCACACAACTTGTGGCAGTTCAACTTAGAATGTGCCATCTGGTCATATTTCCACACAACTTGTGGCAGCTTAAGATATATGTGCTTCCTGGTCACATTTCCACACAACTAGTGGCAGCTTAACTTATATGTGCTATCTGGTCACATTTCCACACAACTTGTGACAGCTCAACTTAACATGTCAGACATGATCTCTCCGCAGAAACAGAATTCCGCGTTTTTTAAGTCAATTCTTATTGTTCCTGAGATTCGTCAAGATCTGCAATAAAATCTGTTCAGATTTTTTTTTTACCTATTCTCATGTCTGATATGTGTTATCTGGTAACATTTCCACACAACTTGTGACAGCTTAACTTAACATATGCTAGCTGGCCACATTTCCAGCCAGACATCTTATGACTGCTTAATATCAGTAATATCTAAGCTTAAAGATATGGCTTCTTTTTTATGTGGATTCCTATTTTATTTGACACTTAGGATTTATTTTTGATAATAGTCGAGGTAGTACAGACAATAAAGTTAGAGTGACAAAATATTCCACCTATTTGATGGTTTGACAAGCACAGAAGTAAATTGTATCTATAGTAAATTGTAATTTGTTGGTATTTATTTATTTATTTTGAGTTTCATTCATAAAAAAACTAAAATTTTCATATTAATACATATAACATGTCTGTGGGGTGGGGTGCAAGGGAGAGGGGGGGGGGGGTAAGCACAGCTGTGCTTCCTTTCTATCAATATTCTAAATTTGCATTATCTATGAACCAAGTATAATTCCCCCAGATCAGTGCACAGTGATATATAGGTGACAGGGGAGTCTGGCTATAATATTGTTAAGGAAATGAACTGTTGCTTATCTCTGGCATACCATAATGGGGATGTGTCAACATAACAGGGTTATAATTTCCCTGGTGGGACAATTAAACTGTACCCTGAGTTTCCAAGGTACAGTAAAGACTGTTTTATGCCATAATGGGGATGTGTCAACATAATGGGATTATAATTTCCAGGTGGGACAATTAAACTGTACCCTGAGTTTCCAAGGAATGATAAGGAGTGTTTTATGCCCTAATGAGATGTGTTGGCATAACTGGGTTATAATTGAATATCCTTTATATATTGTGTAAATAATGTAGTCTAGTGAGCCTGCAAATGTTTTCATACCATTTAGTGCTCAATAAACTTATTATTACAATTAATTACTGTGTTATTACAATTAACTACCCTGGATTGCCAAAGGATGGCAGAGACTGTTTTGTGCCGTAATAGGGATGTGTTGGCACAATAGGATAATATGATTTTTCCTATGGGACAAGCTAATTGTACCCTGAGTTTCTGAGGGCTGATAAAGAGTGTTTTATGCCATAATGGGAAATGTTTCAACATAAATGGGTTATAATTTCCCTTGTGTGACAATTAAACTGTACCCTGAGTTTCTGAGGACTGACGGAAGAAACTTTTAGGCTATAATAGAAATGTATTACAGCAAGTTAGATTATTATTTTCCCTATAGGTTGATTTTCAGAGATATGTACTTAGTTTAGATATGCACTTGTAACAGAAATAGAGCAGGTTAAAGTGATGAAAATTAAGGCAGTGAAAAACAGTAATCAGATATATACACACAAAGCTGAAAGCTGATTTATAAAAGATTGGCAATTTATGTGAGAATTGTGTAGAATTAGAGAAAACAGATGGACTCTTGAGGGCCTTGAAGGTTTACATTTTGATGGTTTTAATATATCTGGGTTCACTTGTGGGAGTTCATATTTCAATTCTCCAACATGTGGCTTTATTGGATTTCTGCCATTAAGTACATTATAAACTGTGTTACCTGTCTTCCAGACCATAAGTGTCCTGTTTAATGGGTCGTGACTGTGTTAGCTTGTATTCCAAGATAAAACATCTGGGCTGTTTCTGAGACAGCATTTTAGCTTGGCTGGATAATTACAACCTTGAATGCACTGGAACATATTATATAATTTCTTTGGTCAAAATATATCTTATACTAAGCATTTACATGGATATGTTTAGCGTTTGGTAAAATATTTGCCCTGCATGTATTCTGGTGGGATATCAGGAGTTGATGAGTGCCCCTATCACTGAATTGAGAATATTATCCAAATACATGCAAAAATGATTTTAAAATTATGTAGTCTATAATTTTTACTTTTTTATTTTTAAAATTTATAAAAAAAGGTATAGTTGAACACATGCAAAAAGTATATTAGACTTTGGTTTAATTTCTACTTTTTTTTAATTTACAAGTTCAAGTTTAATTAAGTAGTCTTTAACATGATAATTATTATAAAATAACTGAAGCCATCTCTTTCTTTTAGAATTTGCAGATTTTACAGTCCTCCAAACTTGCCTTGTGTTCAGCTAAGTACTTGTCTTCGCTGGAAAAACACAAAAGGTTAGTTCATTAGGCATGACAGTTTACTGATTGATCATTCTCATTTTTATGGAGGCACATCTCCAGAAAACTGCAGTTGACATTTTTATCCAGACTTGCCTTTGTATTTCAGGGCTTCAAGTCCTATATATGACTCATGTGGAGAATGATCGTCTCTATTCCATTTAATTAATATAGTCCAGTGGCAAGTGAAATCTTAAAATCTACTTTGAAACTGCCCTACCTGAAGTCTACCTGGAATGTGTTTTGATAATGATCTAGTCTTCTTTATGTTGGTTTCTGGGTCTGTTTCATAAAATGACTCAAGTCAAAAATGAGCCTAAGCAAAGTACTAGTAAGCTATAAATCTTAGCCTACTGAGCAGCACCACAAATAATTTAATTGGCTACCCTGTGTGTGTGTGTGTGTGTGTGTGTGTGTGTGTGTGTTTTTTTTCAGTCTTTTAACTTATCCCCAAGGGCAAACTGTGATTGTATTGACAATGATTCTTACTCTCACTGGTTACTAAAGTCCTTTAACCATGTAGCAGCATTAAATGTGAATCAAAAATTGGAATATTCTGATACCCCGTTCACAATCTGGATTTTTCAAATTCAAATTTCCTGTAAAAAATTAGATTTGCTTCCCTGTTCACACACAGCAAAAGGAAACCGAATCCCATGGTGAAAATTCAGCTGCCCTTCATATTTGAACAATCTTGCTGGTGCTGCACAAAAAGTCATGTTCATACGAAGTATGCAACCTTTTATTGTTCTTATCTGTGTCTTTCCATCTGTTTTTATTTGTAACATCAATTGTAACTCAAAACTATTTTTCCTCTTTAAACAGAAGAAGATCGTAAAAGAGGTTTATGTTTCCACGTGTTTTGTGCACACATGGACAGTGAGGCTGTGTTCAGAATAGAAGTTAGCATACTAGAAAGATCGATCTATCTCAGCAGCGATTCTTGCAAAGGCGCAGTTATTGTAATTAGCTTTATTGTCTGGCACACTCCCTTGTAAGTTTAAGTACTTGGGTAAAGTCAGGGAAAATCAGACATTTTTTTTTAAATGAAGACTGCTATCTTTACTATCAATTTAGATTTTTTTTTCTTCAAAGGTATGGTGTTCCAAGTTTTTATTTCTTTTTATCTGGTATGTCCCTCTCACCATTTCCCACAATCCTCTGATTTTGTTCTAAACTGGTAAAAAAGACACTGAATAGTAAAACCAGAAAAAGTGACAAATCATTAGCAGATTTTCTTTTTACTAACCCATGGCAGTTTTATTTATATCTGAATTTGTTATCAAAATTTTCTCAACTGGTTATCGGGCGTCTAAGAACACATGTATTGACAATTTAGTTCTGGGCATGGAACAAGACTGAATGTGATAGATGAAGAATGCTACAATACTAGGAAATGAATATAATGTTAAGACACACCAGACATATGATGTAAAATGAAATTAATCACGAGTGATTTCAGATTTTGCAGAATGCCCACTTGGTGATGCGAGATTTGAGCGCAATTGCCAGCCAACTCTCATAAATCTATGATAATGCACCAACTGATAGACTGGGCAACCAAACAAGGTTTCTATCGATTTTTTCCTCTTTTTGAGATTGGTTTCTGGCATCAGTGGTTAAGGAGCGTCAACATTGACCCGTCGTCTGGCTTGCAGGGCATTTTGTACAGTACAGTACTCGCGTAGTTACTCAGAATATATAAATATATTTGATAGACTTAATGTACCATTTCTTGAGTATGTGTGACAGGGTTTTCGAAAATAATTTTTAAAAAGCTAAGTGTATGCTAAAAGGTGTGCTTTAGAAAGAGCGTAAAAATGATGCATTTTGAAAAATGAGGCGTTAGCAGTTATACCTTTATGAATACTGAGTTATTACTGTAAAAAGTGAAAAAAAGTTTAATGACTTAATTTCTGAAATTCTTTTAATGTCTTTTAGTCCAGACTCATTTTGAAGATGAAGAAGACATCATTGAATTCGATTTTTTTAAAGAAAATCCGTCCTCCTTGCAGTATCCAATCTTTATCCCCTGACATGCTTGAATTATTTCAAATATTCATCAGTTTCAGTGTCACAGCTAATCAAAGTCCACTTGTAATCTGTCTAAGCAAAAAAAAAAAGGGCCGATACCCATTAGAACTGTTGAAACATAAAACTGAATTGATTTTTGTTTTTCACTTGGTTAATTTATTTGTCAAGTACAGTGATGTGAGAAATGTGCAGCATTGTCAAGAAGATGGATGATTCATGATGATTATTGTAAACCTGTCTGTGATTTTTAATTTAGAAGTATTCATTGGTATGTGATATGTCTGTGTATTGCCTGACACTGAAAGACATTTTATGCTTTCAGTTCAGCTGCTGCTTTAATTGACCAAAGAAGTGAACCCCCCAAAAATTAACTAAACTTTAGACCAAGAATTTGGTCTATTTCAGTTCAGAATAAATGCATGTTCCATTCAATAAAGAAGGTTATGTTCTGAAACATTAGTTGCGTCTTTCTTGCTATAAAACAGGCACAATATGAAATGTAATTGGTCTACTGCCATTTTTTAATCTGGGGTCAAAGAAGACTTAACTTAGCAGACTTAAATTAGCAGTCTAAAAGTAAGGCCAATTTTCAGGTTGAGGCTTTTTTGTGAAACGGGGCCATGGACAGAGCTGATTATTGATGACAAGGCAGAGTGAAGATGGAACAGAATGCTGTATGTTTTCTGAAACCATATCAGTGATTTTCTTCTGTATCTGTCTGAACTTGATGCATTAAGCCATCATTCCCTTCATTGTCCAGTAGATAGTATCTCCATTGATTTTTTCTAGAAATTTGCTGGACTTTGTTATTAAATGTTTGAAAATGGCAGCAGGATAGAAATTAAGCAGGAATTCTTGAGAAGGGGGAGGGAGGGGACTTTGACAAAAATACATTGTTATTCACCCCCTTAACATTACCCATTGTCACCCCCAACCTTCACCCACCTCTTCCTCCACAGCTATCTCCAGACCCCCCCAACCCTCCACCCTTCACTCACCTCATCTCCCACATCTATCTCCAGACCCCCCCAACCCTCCACCCTTCACTCACCTCATCTCCCACATCTATCTCCANTAACCATGTAGCAGCATTTAATGTGAGTTAAAAATTAGAATATTCTGATACCTCATTCACAATCTGGATTTTTCAAATTCAAATTTCCTGTAAAAATTTTGATTTGCTTCCCTGTTCACACACAGCAAAGGGAAACCAAATCCCACAGTGAAAATTCAGCTGCCCTTCATATTTGAACAATTTTGCTGGTGCCGCACAAAAAGTCATGTTCATGCGAAGTATGCAACCTTTTATTATTCTTATCTAATGTGTCTTTCCATCTGTTTTTATTTGTAACATCAATTGTAACTCAAAACTATTCTTCCTCTTTAAACAGAAGAAGATCGTAAAAGAGGTTTATGTTTCCACGTGTTTTGTGCACACATGCACAGTGAGGCTGTGTTCAGAATAGAAGTTAGCATACTAGAAAGATCGATCTATCTCAGTGGCGATTCTTGCAAAGGCGCAGTTATTGTAATTAGCTTTATTGTCTGGCACACTCCCTTGTAAGTTAAAGTACTTGGGTAAAGTCAGGGAAAATCAGACATTTTTTTTAATGAACACTGCTATCTTTACTATCAGTTTAGATTTTTTTCCTTCAAAGGTATGGTGTTCCAAGTTTTTATTTCTTTTTATCTGGTATGCCCCTCTCACCGTTTTCCACAACACTCTGATTTTGTTCTAAACTGATAAAAAAGACACTGAATAGTAAAACCAGAAAAAATGACAAATCATTAGCAGATTTTCTTTTTACTAACCCATTGCAATTTTATATATATTTGAATTTGTTATCAAAATTTTCTCAACTGGTTTCTCAGGGGTCTAAGAACACATGTATTGACAATTTAGTTTTGGGCATGGAACAAGACTGAATGTGATAGATGAAGAATGCTACAATACTAGGAAATGAATATAATGTTAAGACACACCAGACATATGATGTAAAATGAAATTAATCACGAGTGATTTCAGATTTTGCAGAATGCCCACTTGGTGATGTGAGATTTGAAGCCAATTGCCAGCCAACTCTCATAAATCTATGATAATGCACCAACTGATAGACTGGGCAACCAAACAAGGTTTCTATCGATTTTTTCCTCTTTTTGAGATTGGTTTCTGGCATCAGTGGTTAAGGAGCGTCAACATTGACCCGTCGTCTGACTTCCAGGCCATTTTGTACAGTACAGTACTCGCGTAGTTACTCAGAATATATAAATATATTTGATAGACTTTATGTACCATTTCTTGAGTATGTGTGACAGGGTTTTCAAAAATAAATTTTAAAAAGCCGAGTGTATGCTAAAAGGTGTGCTTTAGAGAGAGCGTAAAAATGATGCATTTTGAAAAATGAAGCATTAGCAGTTATAACTTTATGAATAATTACTGTAAAAAGTGAAAAAAAGTTTAATGACTTAATTTCTGAAATTCTTTTAATGTCTTTTAGTCCAGATTCATTTTGAAGATGAAGAAGACATCACAGAATTTGATTTTTTTAAAAAGAAAATCCGTCCTCCTTGCAATATCCAATCTTTATCCCCTGATATGCTTGAATTATTTCAAATATTCATCAGTTTCAGTGTCACAGCTAATCAAAGTCCACTTGTAATCTGTCTAAGCAAAAAAAAAGGGCCGATCCCCATTAGAACTGTCGAAACATACAACTGAATTGATTTTTGTTTTTCACTTGGTTAATTTATTTGTCAAGTACAGTGATGTGAGAAATGTGCAGCATTGTCAAGAAGATGGATGATTCATGATGATGATTGTAAACCGGTCTGTGATTTTTAATTTAAAAGTATTCATTGGTATGTGATATGTCTGTGTATTGCCTGACACGGAAAGACATTTTATGCTTTCAGTTCAGTTGCTGCTTTAATTCACCAAAGAAGTGAAACCCGAAAATTAAATA